GGGGTGGTGGGCTCGGGCTTTTTGGGGGTGGTAGGCTCGGGCTTTTTAGGGGTGGTGGGCTCGGGCTTTTTGGGGGTGGTTGTAGGTTCCTTGGTGGTGGTGGTGGGAGAAGGCGTTTGAGGAGTGGTGGGTGTAAGAGATGTGGTTGTAGTTTCAGCTTCGGTTGTAGTTTTAACAGAAACTGATGTGGCTTCCAAATCTTTAGATGTTTTTTCTGCACTTCGCGTCTCTTTACCTGAAGTCGTCTTCTCTGATGTACTAGCTGAAGTCTCTTTTGTTGTTTTAGAAGTCTCTTTAGTTTCAACCGTTTTCTCTTTACTTGCTGTTGAAGATGTGTCTTTGGATGTTTCAGGTTTCGGTGACGGGCTGGGTTTAGGACTTACTGTTGTCACTGTTGTAACCTTGGAAGTTGTGGTAACTTTAGTGCTTTGAGTGGTGGGCGTGTCAGGAGTTGGGGTGGGCTTGGAATCACCTTCGTCCAATCCACTTCCAGCTTCATCTACCACTGGTGGTTCCGGGGCAGGTTTCTTCTTAGGATTTTCTTTCTTGTTATCTTTTACTAGAGAAAAAAATATACATCCTTTATTCTTGAATAGTTTGTCTTTAGTAATTATGTAAAGCTCCCATTCTTATCACTGACTGTGTGACTCTGGGCAGGTTGCTAACCTCTAATATGTCTATTAATTTATTGTAAAATGTTAAATACTCAACCTGTCTTAGTGGGCTATTTTAGGGAATGAATGAGATAAGGGGTAAAATGCAAAGTAAAACTACAATAGACAGAGACACGTGTCGAATTTGAAATTACCCATACAATCAATAACACTAATTCATCTCTTTACATTAAAGCTCTTTGGCCTTCCCTTTCTCTGCTCCTCCTCTTCCTCATTGCTCAGTTCCCCTTTCTCCAGGAAACCTAGTTCCAACATCTTGTAGATTCACTGCATCCTTAGCTGAGAGGCCTCTACAGCTACATCCAAGGATGCTCCAGTCACCCCCCTGGCCCCTGCTGAGTTATTTCCATACCCAGGGCTGTTAGCTCTTCTCATTCTTCTGCCCAGTCCCATGGGTATAGAAAGGAAATTAGGATGCTATGGCAGCTAAAAGACCCTAGTTAACAGGATTTGCCATAGCAGCTACCCCACAGGTGAACTACAGAGCCCCAGGGGCACATCATGAGATGAGTTCATTCAGCAAACATGTATTGCACTTCCATCGGGTGCAGGAATCTCTGGATGACTCAAAGATTAAATATCTGGCTATTCATTTAGAGAGAAGGCTTCAGGGGAAATCACAACCACCCAGGAAATAGTTCCTTAGAACTGCAGTATCCAAAATCCAGTACTTCCTGGGGAAAGAGAATATCGTTTAGAATTTCAGGAAATAAAAAGCAGAACAAAGGGAACCTCTTTTCAGGAGGGAAGAGCCTACTCTGTAGTACATTTTCTACAGAAAAATCAGCCAGATATGACATCTAATTTACTATGAAAACGGTAAAGAGGATTTGTAAACGAGAGTAATACTGAGTTTCCCAGAGAGGTGTATGAGAATTTAATAAATTAGCATTTTAAAGCAGTATATAAGTATTTGTTAAGTAAAATAAAAAATCTGGAGAAGGAAAAATGAAAACACGAAGAGAAAGAAGAAAGAAAAACGATGTCAGGAACTGGAATAGAAAACCACAATCATCTTTGGCGCCATCCTGTGGTTTCACAGTTTCTAGAGCATCTTACCCTTTGCTTTAGTTGGTTTCTTAGCTGCTTGGCACTAATTTCCTAAAGGAAGTTTGCATTGGTATTTTCTAAAATAGCTTTTATAGAGTTATACACCTCCCTCCCCAAATATTAAAATATCTTTAAATCACTCTATCAACACGCATTACTTTAGGTAATTATTGTTATGGCATTGATATAGTCTTTGATCTTTATCAATGCTCAAACCTTTGGGTTTCTTCTTTAATTCTTTATTAGCAGCTGAATTTTTGGAAGACTTGATTTTCCGAATACTTGAAGAGGAAGAAGAAGAAGAGGAAGAAGACTCTTGATTTTCAGAAACAGAATGTTCTATAAATCAAATAAAAAAGTGATCACACCAATTGTGATTTAAAGCAAGAAAAGAACTGCCAGTCCAAATACAACAAGAAATGCTATTTACTAATCAATAAATGTCTGTGTTCTGATTTTATTTAACGGTAGCATAATCAACTGCCCTTCTAATTTAATTGTCAGTTAAAAGCAAGATACCGGAGCTTATGACAGATAATAGCAACATAACGATTAACTTTCTCAGAACTCAGAATGTAATCTGAAAAAAAATCATGGTCTTGCTTTTCCAGTTAAAAGCAAGATACCAGAGCTTATGACAGATAATAGCAACATAACTATTAACTTTCTCAGAACTCACAGAATGTAATCTGAAAAAAAATCATGGTCTTGCTTTTTTAACATTAAGACTTGTTTCCTCTGATTATTTTAACTTAAACCCATACTGGGTTCAGTAAATAAGGAAAATAAATATCTGAGGGTTTATACTTTGGCTTAAACTTTGACTTAAGTAAACAAAAAGCATAATGAGCCTTTAACGACTCATAAGATTATACTGTTCTATGAGGAGTCACCTATAGGTTATTTCATCTCAGAAACCTCCTCCTGTCATCTTCCTACCTTCTGTTATTTCCTCTGATTCTATAACTTTCTTAGTCGTCTTCTTGTCTGTTGGTTTGGGTGAACGTTTGGTTGTTGATTTGATGGGTTGACGTGCTCCTGCAGGCGGAGGTGCAGCCTTTGAAGATGGTGGTGATGTGGGGCTATGCACTGAGGCCAAGCAAGACAGGTCGGTTAACATCTGTTTGTACTCATCAGCAACTCTAACTGTGAAAGCCATGGATGCATCTGTCTTCAAGATTAGATGCTGGTTTGCCCGGCCGGCGTGCTCAGTGTTTGAGCGTCAACCCATGAACTAGGAGGTCATGGTTCCATTCCCAGTCAGGGCACTTTCCCAGGTTTCAGGCTCAGTTCCCAGTAGGGGCGGGAGGGGGGATGCAGGAAGCAGCCCACCAATGATTCTCATCATTGATGCTTCTATCCTCTCTCCCTCTGCCTTCCTCTCTCTGAAATCAATAAAAACATTTTTTTAAAAAGAAAAAAAAGAGTAGATGCTGGTGAAAACCAGTGTAGGCAGGCTGTGGCCCAACACTACTCCAAACCAATTAATTCTGAGGATGTGTTGCTATAAAATATTGGTTCTCATGATAGGGAGCAAAGGCTCAGGGCTCAGGAAAATTCCAGTCCTGGTCCTGCAAGGCTCTCATTGAGACCTTAGGGAAAAGTGTGAATTCCTTTTGAACTTCGTTTTTTTGTTTGCAAACAGTTATTTATTCTAGATGATTTCTGGAGGTATTTATCTAAAAAGTGCTTGGGTTTATAAACTCCATCCCTTGCGTCTGCCTTCTGTGGTGAAAATAATTATTTCATGTGGATGAGAAATAGAGTAATTACATTTTTTGTTTTGTCTGCCTTCTGTGGTGAAAATAATTGCATGTGGATGAGAAATAGAGTAATTACATTTTTTGTTTCCATGTTCTCTTATAAGTAATGATGCCAATTATCATGAAAGTTCTAAATGAATATTCACTTTTGTAAAACTTCCACAGCTTCCCATGATGCTTTTCTCAAAACTTGTTGCCCTTCCCCGAGTCAAACAGCTATTCATGGTTTGATGTGTTTCTTTCAAACTTTTGTCACCCCTCCTCCCACCTCTTCTCATGTCCAGAAGAGAGACATGTTTTGATCATTAGGAACCAGAGGAAGAGGAGAGGGACCCGTGGGAAAGTGGGAAGCGGAGAACAGTGGGGACGCTCTGGGGAGTGGAGGGTTGCCATCAACCCGCTGCTCTTACCAAGCATCTCAGAACGCTATGGCTGCCGTCTCCATGAACTGACCACCGCACCTCTCCCTTTCTCCCCCCTACAAAAGCGACAAGGACCTCAATTTGAGAAACTGCTCTGCCACATACTAACTAGTGATCTTCAACACACACTTAACCTCTTGGCCTTTCTCACCCACGTTCATAGCTCGACTGCCGATTCCTCCAGTTCTTGAAATGTGATCACTGAGATTTACAGATGCCTACAAGCAGTCTCCAGCAATCTTGAAACAACTGAGTGGCAAGTTAACAAGATAAATTGGTTGCTATTCTTTAAAAATGAAGTATTGAAGCTCTGGGTGGTTCCTTCATTTTCCTCGTGTTTTCCACAAACCTCATGCAATCTGATCCACCCTGTAGTAGCCTAAGGCATTATCTTCATTAACAGGTTCTCTCCATGCTTCCTCACTCCCCACCTATCCTCTGCCCAAGATGCATTCCTAGCGTTCTCACAGCCAGCACGGTTCTCAGGGCGGTGAGTAAACATGTCCTGCCCATATGGGTTCTTCTGAAAGCTGCAGGGACTCTGCTCTGAGTTTTCCATTACAAGGGTGTCCTCTCCGTTATTCCTGGAATGCTTTCCAGTGAAAACAGTGAACGGTGAAAAAAGGCCCCTCCGCTCAGCTGCCTGACAGCTTTCTGCCCTCTCCACTGCTGGAAAGGAGCGGGCGTGCAGCCTTGTCTAAATAAATAAAATGCTCGGGTTATGCAAGCAATGTACATCCACACTTGCTTCCACAAATTGTCTTGTTTTAACAAAAGGCTTTAAGAACAAACAGTTGGTAACAGAAAGAAACCCATTGTTTAAGAATATTTTTAAATCTTGGGGGTTTTTTTTTGGTAAAATTTAGATGGTTTTACTACACTCTCAGAGTACTCCTTCGGGACCCATAACCAGAGAAGATTTTAAGATGAGACTATCCTTTGTTATTGACTATCAGGCACAGGACTTGGAAAGAGAGAGACTGTCAAGATGGGAAGAGACATACAATGCACAGTTAACAAATTCTTGGTAGGTTTGCTTGTAAATTTAGTGCCTTAAACTAATTCACAATGTTCTAGTTCAGAGAAGCAAAAAAGTGTTGATTCTCCCTTTAGATACACACTGAAGCCCTAACTGGTTTGGCTCAGTGGATAGAGCGTCGGCCTGCGGACTGAAAGGTCCCAGGTTCGATTCTGGTCAAGGGCATGTACCTTGGTTGCAGGCACATCCCCAGTAGGGGGTGCACAGGAGGCACTGATCGATGTTTCTCTCTCATCGATGTTTCTAACTCTCTATCCCTCTCCCTTCCTCTCTGTAAAAAGTCAATAAAATATATTTAAATACACACTGAAAAACATTACTTTGTAAAGCACAGATAGTTCAAAGGACAGCTGACCATTCAGGTGAGACAAGAAATCACCAAGGGAGTTAGTTACTGTTGATTTAACCTGAAACTGAACCACACCTGCAGAGAGAAGCATTTACACTGAGGCCCACCCTCTGTTACTCAACCTGCGTTCCTGGAGCCTGGCTGAGCCAGGGAGTGCTGTTGGGAGAGGCCGTCCCCCAATTCATCTTGTTGAAACAAAATTAGAATGAAATAACTTAAATGTTAGTGAAATCAACACCTCAGAGGGTCGTACTGCGTGTCAGATGTTATCAGTGAGGCCAAGGTGTGTGCACAGCTCTGGCTGCGCCCCGAAGCACCCCCTGGGACTGATGCTTACCTTCACAGAAATCGTCGTAATCGGGACAGCACTTGCCATACTTCTTACATTGGTTGTCACAGTCACACTCCCTCCCTCTTTCAAAGGACTCGGAGCAGCGGCCTTTACAGGAGAGCTCTACCCAGAGCAAAACAAAACATTGCGCATTAGGATTATTGAGGACGACACAGCCACACCCGTGAAGGGGGAAGCCCTTTCCCACCTTCTTTCTAGTCCACTAGAGCCCCCAAGAGCATTTCTAAGTCCTTTGCTTAGGAAAATGGATGGTTTCCCAAGTGGAGACAGCCCAAGTCAAGAAAGAAATATGGGGACTTGGGGAAACATGTTTGCCCTTCGAGGTTCCAAGAGACACCCCAATGCTACCCAAGTCATCTCCATGTATGGACAATGGGAAATGTTTCAATAGTAAATGACCCTTCATGGGAAATCCCTCCATCTTTTTTCCTCCTCACATCACTCATTGTAATAGATTTCTGTTCATTTAATATTCAGATCCTACAACAATATATTCCAAATGGATCAATGTTTCAGCTCAGAATTAAAGGTCTCTGTTTATAATGCAGAGACCTTTATTAGGACAAACTATTAACAAATTCTTGGTAGGTTTGCTTGTAAATTTAGTGCCTTAAAACTAAATTTTAGTAGAGGTGAAAGACATAGCCTAATCCATGGCATGGACTCTGTAAGACAGGCTTGCTTATTTTAAAAAAACACACACACAAAAAAAACCTTGGTTAGAGATCCAATGACTCCAACAAGGCCTATTTGAAATAATTACCTTAACACAACACAACACATAACAACACATAACAATATACTTATGAGCTTCACATGCAAATTCTAAAAGCAAAGATAACTTTGAGGCAATTAGAATTTTTATAAATTAAATATGACATGTCTCCGTGTTATTAAAATGGCCAAAAATATATTCAAGAGAAATATTACCTACCATTCAAACCTTTTGGTTTTCATTGAAACTCATCATTAAACACCAATGCTTCATTAAAGTGCCATTTTTAGGTAATTTAGAAACATGCCAATATATTTTTAAAAAGTCAAGTAATAGACAAGATTTTAGGACCATAGATTCTTCTGGTGAAACTTCTGAAAGGCCTCCTGACTAAGCAATGACAACTCATTACTTTTTACTTCATGATTCCAGAGTCACAGTGTTAAGTCTCTATTGAAGACAAGACATTGTATTTGGCACTAATCAAAAACCTTGTGCAAGTGACAGATCAGGCCCCGCTTAAACTCCCCCAGTAGTGACGAGCTTTGACACCATCCTTAGGTACAGCATGCTGCGACATTTATGCAAGGGAAGGGAAAGACACTTGAGCAACAAGATGCGCAATAGTGTGAACAGAGCACAGCAAGGGACTCTCAAGAACAGCGATGCTTGACAGGGGAGATGCCAGCTCTTGGCACTTACCCACAGTGCAGAATTTCTTGAAATCAGGGCAGCACTCCATGTAGAGTTGACAGTTATAATCACAGTTGCAGGGGGTATCTCTAGAATACCCTTCCCCACATCTCCCTGCACAGCTTGATACATCTAAAATCATACAATATAGGTAAACACGGCCAAACCACTTACAGAGAGGGAGAGATCTCAGGAGGAGGATAGAGCCATTTGGGGAGAGAGAATTGTATCCGTTGGGCAAGGATGGGGATGATAATTAGCCATAGGTCCAGGTGATCTTTGCCTGATCTTTTATAAGACCCACTTTATTCTTTTCCTAGACTGAGAAGACAAATACTCTTTTGAAAATCAAAGTAGGAGCTTTGCACCTTTCCTGGAAGGTGGGTGGCAGCTACAGCTCTCCTGATGTTGCTAAGATGATGGCTTGTTGCCATCATTGGAGCCTCTCTGTGCTGGGTACTGAGTCATACGTTATCTCTAAAGCTTTTGAAAATGTTGCCAAGAGACTCTGAGTAGCTTCTCTTCAGAGATAAGGAAGCTGAAAGATTGAAATTTTAATAACTTGCTTCAGGGCACCCAAGCTAGTGAATAGGTCCAGCATATGCATATTATAAGTCAATGAATACCTGTTAATTATTCATATTGACCTCTTTCACTCTCAGAAGTGTCCTGATTTGGCCCTAAATTATATAGTTACTAGAGGCCTGGTGCACGAAATTCCTGCATGAGGAGGGGTGGGGGGAAGGCCCCTCAGCTCAGTCTGCACCCTCTCGCAATCTGGGACCCCTGGGGGGATGTCCTACTGCTGGACATCCCTCTCGCAATCTGGGACCCCTGGCTCCTAACCACTCGCCTGCCTGCCTGACTGATCGCCCCTAACCCCTCTGCCTTCCTGCCTGATCGCCCCTATGTGCCTCTGCCTCAGCCCCCACTGCTGTGGCTTCATCAAGAAGGACACCTGGAATGACATCCAGAAGGTCGTTTGGATGTCTGGTCTAATTAGCATATTATGCTTTTATTACTATAGATCTTAAGTCAACAGCCCATTTAGAATTTGAATTCTAATATATCTGATTCTAAAACCCAAACTTTCCCAACAATCACAGTGCCTCTTGTTCTTGATGAGCTTAAAGAAAGCTGGTTATACCTGCACAAACTCTCCTAGGTGTCCTTTCCCTTTTATTGGTCGGGGGAACTGGGTTCTTTAAATGTCAGGGAAGTCAGATGTTTACAACCACTGCTAAAATGACTGCAAAATGAATAACTATTGAAATAAGACCTGGACATGAACGTAAAGGTCATGAACAGAATATTTTTGGGTAAAACAAAAACCAAAAAAAAACCAAAAGCATAATTATCCTCCAATATAGTTTCAAAATCATTTGAAAAACACCTTGAAATCCTCCCTGAAGAGATAACCATGGAAAAGCAACCATTAAATCTGTCTCTGGAATATAAATTGGCAGGTGCAATGTCCTAAATCCATAGAAGGACTTTCAAAACACACTGGAAAAAAAATCTCAAAATGATGAGTCCAGGAGAGTAAAGGTCTTAATATGCAAATTAAACAGTAAATATTAGGAAAACTTTCAGAAGTGTTTGCATACATATACACACAATACACACAGATGCATATATAGTGTATGTATATAAATACATATATTATATATAAAGAAAAAAGGGAATGGGGAGAGGTTGAGAAGGCAAGAAAAGCAGATGCAACATCAAAATGTTATTTACCGTTAGCAGATTTCTGAAATAGGAAATCAAATATCTTTACAGGAAAAGTTTATTTTCATAGATTAAATGTCTGTAGTTCTCTTGCTATTCATTTTAATAGCTAATTTTAAATTCATTTACTTAAAGGAAAGTAAACCATTTTAGTGAACAATTGACTATCACAGAGGAAAGGTGGGTTAGAAAAACGCACCCAGTGCTACGAACATTGTAATTTATCATGAAAGAGCACCGGGGTCTGGAGATACCAGAGCCGTCACCATTCCTTTTGAAATGTTTATATTTGCTTTCATGCATTTTCCATCTTTTCTTATCTCAGCGATTCTGAAACTATGCCCATAGCAGGCAGTTACCTTTCTTGCTCAGGTTCATGAGAATTTTAATTATTTTACTGGAAATGTCTATTTCATAAATGTAATTTCACCATAACAATCATGCACCTCATATCAAATGACATTCACATCTGTGTAATTCCATATCTGGATGAACAGTCCTTATATAAGAAAGAGAGCATTTTCAAGATTAATAAAATGCCATTTCAAATATTGCAGATGTCCATTGAAGTGTTTTATCAATACTTTATAAACATTTAGATAAAAATTATATGCTATTTAAATACTGATCTTATCAGTTAATCAAATAATATTGTATCACCCCAGCAACATCTGTATATGTATTTTTTAACTTTTGGGATAACCCTGGGGCTAATGAATACAAAAATTATTCTATAGAAAAGCTCAAAACTTCTTGAAAGATTCTGTAACACGGGAGACAAGAGTGAGAATTCCAAAATGCTCATAAAAGGTACGTTTTTACATAATAAGGTTGTACTCTGCATGAAACTTAAATATACATTTTTAGACGTCTATTTCTTTGGTTGGCCTAAGAGTCAGAACTGAATGATTAGAAATAGTTGTGAAATAAAACAGTTTTTGATGGTTAAGGTACCTTGAGAAGAAACTTGCTGAATCAAGAAAACAGAAAGTAGCAGCAACAAGTGAATGGGAAGTATCTTCCACTCCATGGCCATCGCTGAGAAGAAAACAAAAGGATCAGAAAACTCCTCTTTAATCTCACCACGAGCTCATGCCTGTGCTGCATTCATGTTTTGGTAACTTTTAAAATGCAATTTAAGGATAAAACCACCCCATTCTCGAAGCAAGACTTTTAGTCAGCTTTCCTTCTATAGTAATTATTTGATGATTAGATTTAATCTTATGCAGAAGAAATCAAGTCACCATCTCAGTCATGTCATTGAACATTTTAATTCTTTAGAATTCCCCCCATAGAATACAAACTTATCTTAAAATTCTATTAACATTAAAACAGGTACTTACAGTGCAAGGTTGAAATTCTATCTTAAGGAACAAAATAACCAGCCTCAGTAAAATTTAATTTGATCAACATAGGAGTTACCATTCCAACTTCCCCTTCATTCTCAATATCAATTTACCAGCTTCCAACAGGTGGACTGCAGAAATGTGATCTTTTCCCAAACTGTCCAACTACTATCCTTACAAAGCTATTTCAAAAACCTTTAATAAAGTTTATCCCTATTGAATTGAAAACATTTAATTCCACGAAGCAAGTTGACTTTGACACTTACCGGTAAGAGGATAGATGAACTTCTCCAGTGTCCTGGAAGTCATATATATATCAGTGCAGATATACTGGGATGAACCCATTAGTCCAAAGGTTAGACAAAATCAACAGTGACAACCAATGAAATCAAACTTTCCTCATTTATTGGAAGAGGGCCCGGACGACTAGACTTAGGCAACATCTGGAAAACACTTCCATTAAGAGAAATGACTACTACAAAATAAATTTCGATTTATTGGCCCAAACACCTCTAATTTCTAAGTGAACAAATTGTTCTGAGATGGCAAAGCACCCTGGCTGGCTTTGACAAGTGTACTGAAACAGCAACTTTAAATGTCAAACGCTGGTATCATGTCTTCCTTTTTCTTCCAGTTAATCTAGCAAAGAGTGGTTCTGAAACTTACCTAGTGTTAGCCTGTGGTATGTATTTTCTGAACTTACACTATTAAATCAAACATACATTTTTGTTCTTGAGTATTTTTGTTTCCCCGGAGCTCAAAAAAATATGTCCTGCCCTGACTGGTTTGGCTCAGTGGATAGAGCGTCGGCCTGCAGACTGAAGGGTCCCAGGTTCGATTCCGGTCAGGGGCATGTACTTTGGTTGTGGGCACATCCCCAGTAGGGGGTGTGCAGGAGACAGCCTATCGATGTTTCTCTCTCATTGATGTTCCTAATTCTCTATCCCTCTCCCTTCCTCTCTGTAAAAAATCAATAAAATATATTTTTTAAAAAATATGTCCTGCTACTTACAACTGCATAATCCACAGCGTGGATTTTCTAGGTTCCTTTACCATGTAGAAACCTGCTTGAAATTTGTATCATTTCCTTAGTTCCTTTATTTGAGCCCAGCAGTGTTTGGAAAGGGTCTTTTTAAACCCATTTTGATAAGCAATGTTCCTGTTCAAAACCTACCTACCTGCATAAGGCCTTGCCTATGTCCCAGCACCTTTGCAAAACTTTCTCAGGTCCATCACAGATCAATCACATCCAGAATCCTAGTCAACGCTACATTTTAAAAAAATGTATTTTTATTGATTTCAGAGAGGAAGAGAGAGGGAGAGATAGAAACATCAACGATGAGAGAGAATCACTGATCGGCTGCCTCCTGCACGCCCCCCACTGGGGATCGAACCCACAACCCTGGATATGTGCCCCTCGACCGGAATCAAAACTGGGACCCTTTGGTCCACAGGCCGACGCTCCATCCACTGAGCCAAACCAGCCAGGGCTCAACGCTACATTTTATTGAGCTTATCTGTTCATCTGCTTCCTTCCCACCACAACAGACTGCGATTTCCTCAAGGATAACCAATGTCTATGTCTTAATTCTGTTCCCAACATCTAGTCCAGCAATCCACCCAGGTTGTTGGCCACAGGCTCATTGAAACAAACTGTTGTAACCTGGGATTCCACCGTGTTAGGTATTTGTTAAGTGCTGCATTGAATCATTACAAAACGCCTTTAAGTGGAATATAATTATCCACATTTTACAAGTAAGATGAAGACCCACGAAAGAATAACCTGTGACCCACAAAGAACAGATAAGAGCAGGAGGCAGAGTGAAGCTTTGCACCCATGTCTTTTTTACGTTCCACCATGTTCCCCTGATATCCAGCTGCCTTTGAATCAAAGCCAGCACTTCAGTATTTAATCACAGTCCTCAATTTTACTCCTTCACGTACACATGAGATCGCGACCTTCGTAAAGACAGAAGCTATGATATAAGCATCTCTTTTGTTCCCATGGTGCTTATTCTGGGCTAAATCATGTACAAACACAATGTAGAGCCTGTCTGCCTACCTCTAAGTAATTGCCTTTCTCTGGAAACTACCTCCTCCTCTTCAGGGGCATTTCCCTCTTAGCCACTTCTCTATATGTGATCTTGTCACACCTAACACAGATGATAGGCTTAACCTACACTAAACGGGGCCAGCATGTTTCCCTGTCCTGGAGATAGGAAACAGTGATTTTGAGATTGCTAGTCTGTCTAGGTCTAGGCAGATGTTTCACAAGCTCATTTCTGTCCAAGGTCTAAAGAAGTAAGAGAAAGGGCTTCAGAATACAGAGGGAAAAGAATGAGGCAGCCAGCAGAGAGAGGCAGAGCGGGTCCTGACAGCTTTCTAGGTCTTGGTTACTCTCTGTTCCTGAGATCCAGATGCCTTCTTGCTCTGCATCCTCATGTAGTCTCCCCTGACCCCCCCCCCGCCCCCCCCACACACACACACACATCTGCTTTGGGGTTGAAGCTGCTAAAGAGATGCTTTCTGTTACTTAATATCACTAATCAAAACATAGCAGATATTCAAACACCCTACTGGATGGAATTAAGCCGAACTCTCTTCGTTCTTCATTTCCTAAGGTCAAGGGGGGCTAGAAGTTTTTTCAAGCCAGACCTACACACTGGAATACCAAGAAAGCAGGTATAGGTAGGCACACATAGACACACATCCTTAAAGCAAATATAAATTGCTCTCTAATTATTGCCTCTTAAAACTATCCATACTATCATTTTCCTCCTTTACACAGATGTATTATAATGATGGCAAATGACATTTTAAAATTGGTTGAAAATCTGTTCCAGTAATATGTATTCTTGAATTCAAGCTCTAAGCTGGGAAAACTGACAAATAAACCACACACACACACACACACACACACACACACACACACACACACGATTATGGTCAACCCATTAACACATTCTCATTGTCATCAAATATATTTTTCTCTGTATAATTAAGTATGAAAAAAAAAGAGAAACTATTAAATGTCAAGTTCCTAAGGCTTAGGTTATAAATACCTGCTTTGCATAATGCCACTGGCTAATCAGACTGTCCGGGTAAATAAATTTGCCCCTACAGCATGGAAGCATTTTAATTTCATCTACTTAATGTATCTTTATAAACTGTACTACATGCTTCATTCTGTGACTACTGGGCCATTTACCCTTGCTTGTCCATCACACAGCAATTGTTCTATTAGGTTTAGGTTCTCCCTTTGAAATTTATTTTCTTATTAAAAAGGTATTTTATTAATTTTCACTGACGTCTCATTTAATTGGGAAAAAATTATCACAGGATTGGTTTTTAATAAGGGGGAGATGGGGAGATGGGGAGAGTAGAGATGGAAAGCACGTAAATAATATTAGATCCTCTCCTCGTCTTCTGGGCATAACTTTCATCCAGTTCTCCCTCATGAACCTCCATTTCTGAACTTGGCAGCCCCCCAGTGCTGCCTTCAGAGAACACTCCGTGTGTTTCCGGGTATTTTCTCTGCAGTAAATTATCCCAGATGGTTGTGCTTTTCTGCTTGATGTGCTCCGTCTCCATCCCCGCTGTTAGCTGTCACTGTCCTATAGCCAGTGAGTCTGTACCTAGTGGCTTCTCTCCACCTTTCCACGTCTTTGATGTGTTTCATTTCCTTCCAGCAGCAGCCTAGGAAAAACTGAAGCATGCTGGGGGAACACCACAGAGGCAGGCCAGCTCTTTATGGCCCTATTTGCTCACAATGCTCAGTTAGTGTTCTCCAGAAGTGGAAAATCTCCTCTCCTCTCCTTTGGAGCAGAGACCTGGCTGTGGGGACTGGCTCTGTCTATTCCATAGGCCCTTAGGGCATTTTCATGTAGGAGAAAGGATCCTGGCTTTTTCTTCTCCTGGATGTCGATCAAAAGTCAGACCATTAGATAAGAAAAGTAATATTGCATTTGCTTTTGGGGATTTGCATACTACACAACAATGCAAAAGAATGAACTATGAGTAATGAACCACTGGTTTTGGGAAGGAAGAAGTGAACCGTTTTTATTTGTAGATGACATGATTGTATATGTAGAAAATCCTGAAAAGTCCAAATCAAGCTCTTATGATACAAGATCAATCACAAGATTTATCACACTGTAATGTATGAACTCAGATGTGTTGTCTCTTTTGAATGTTCATAAGAGTTCCTTCATTTGTTCATTCATGAAATTATTTTTTAAAAAAATATTTTTATTGATTTCAGAGTGAAAGGGTGAGGGAGAGAGAGAGAGAGAAACATCAATGATGAGAGAGAATTATTGATCGGCTGCCTCCTGCACACCCCCTACTGCGGAATGAGCCCACAACCCAGGCATGTGCCCTGACCAGGAATCAAACTGTGACCTCCTGGTTCATAGGTCAACGCTCAACCATCAAGCTACACTGGCTGGGCTACCATAGTTTCTTTTTGTACATGATTGCTTATTCTATATCTGCTTGTTCACCTTTCAAGTTTACAGTCTTTCTTCTAATGGCCACTTTGCCATCAGACCTCTGTTTTCTAGCTCTTATCAGTAAGCTTTGTGACCATTTCAGTCTATATCCTTTGGATTCGAGATATCAAGGAAGCATACTATGTCACAACTCAGACAAAAATCATTACAAATTTATTTGAGGAGTCAACAACATGAGTAATTTCCACATTACTATTAAGAGAGTGAAAGTGAACTGGGGTGCTATAATAACTCAGTGTGACAAATCCTTGAGAATTGGGAAATTCAGAGAGTGGGAGCAAAGTTTGGGTGTGGTCAAAGGACCACAGATAGGTGGGACAGGAGAGAAGTCTCCCAAGGGACGCCTTAAGGACATTTCGTTGAGTCATTCCAAAGCAGGAACACCAGGCCCTTTAAAGATATCAAGTGTAATGCAGGTTTGGCTTGCAACATCTCTTTCCCTGCAATGGTAGCTAATTTCTGTCAAGAGGATTGACAACTGATTCCCGTCAGCAGGATGTTTGCTTTGAACTGCCCCCTTAGGACTTTTATTAAGCTGGTTACAGAAAACCAGATCAGAAACTTGAAACTCAACATTTCCCCCTCTCCTGGTCCTTTCCCCGATGCCGTATGAAAGTAGACCTGGGAAGATCTTACCACTCTGGGGACCGAGAGATGACGGTGGAACGAAGTAATTGGTAAAGGTCACTGCTAACACCAGCCCTTCTGCTGCCTGTCGGACTGGAAGGGAGGACCTTGGTATTTACAAGCCCCTGCACATGTCAGTCAGACCT